ACATGTATTTCATTTCTCAACTCAAATTCCTTCAAGGTCTGAGCATAAAAGCCCTAGAACGCAAGGACTTGGCGATGGGCAACGGAGGCATTAAACCATTATTTCAGAGATGAAAAAACAGGCTCACAAAGTGGCAGACACTTGCCCAAGAACACACAAGGAGTCAGGAGCAGAGTTCAGATCTGAATCTCTCCTGGCACCAAGAGCTCCTTCTTAGGTAAGGGTCCAGTGATTTCATCAGAATGGGGACTCCCTCCACCTACATGTCCGTAATAAACATGTCCGAGAGAGTTGTTTTGTATTCAGAAGTTAAATACGTTGCGCATGGTCACACAGCAACAATAATCAATAAGCATCAGAAGGATGATTTGAACCCAAGTCTTCCTAATAGCAAGGCCAGCACAGTCAGCCCACAGCACCACGCTGTTTCCCTTTCCTATTGTGTCTCAGCCAAAACAGGCCATTGAACGGTATCTCTCTGAAGGCATTAACAACACTCAGAGTCAAGGAGCCACTTAACTCCCCATTTCAGGGTTAATTCTCCCCAAATTATGGCACTGGAACGTCTGAGAGGCTACCCTAGCGATGGTGTTCTCCCCTGGCCTTCAGCAGGGGACATTTCCCAGAAGGACTGAAAGGTATGGGGCTTTTTTTTTCCCCCCTTTCTTTTTCCAAAGCTCAAAAAATCCAGGTCTCTGATTTACACTCTAACAGGAAAGGTGTTACCCTGCTATCAATAAACATTTGCTGACCTAAATGACTAAATAATTGATCATAAAGAAGTACTAAGTACCTTGTATCTCATTAGAAGAGCATCTGTAGTGTTGACTGAGCCAGCAGGGGGTTCCTAACTTTTTTTTTTCCTGCTATTCATTGGCCTGCTTTATTAAGTGTGTATACTCCCAGCTAAGGAAAAATGTACAAATCGAGGTAGACCCATATTTAATGCTGGGCTGGTTCCTCCCTCAAACCATCTCCCTCCAACTAAAAGAATTTATCACAAACACAAGAATATTTCACTCTGCCCTGAATTCACTGTCGTGGTCATCATCAAGAGTTCTAGAATCGACCCAAGCAGGGCTGATTGCCGGTTCTCATTGTACAAAGGAGGAAACTGAGGCCCAAGTGGATAAGCAACTTGCTCCAGGGTCCTATGGTCAGTCAATGATAGAGTCAAGACTAGAACCAAGATTTCCTGCAACCCCCTTTTCACTACAGCATCCTACTTTGGGAGGTGGGGAGGACTGGAGAGGGAGTCTCCCAGCAAACGGGAATCAGTTGCCTAAAGCCAGAAGGAGACTCAATTATCATCTCATCCAATATGGCGTCCACTTCTAAGCTCTGTCTCACCCTACCCTATTTTCATGGATATAGCCATGGAACCAACCCCCTGCTGACAGGGAGACAGGGACTGGTTCATTGATTTCATTGGGACAGATGAGAAAATTCCTCTACCATTGCAGGTTGGCATCTACTCTGCCACCAAAGGTCGCCCAGAACACCAAGATGGGGTAACCTGCCCACCACCACGTAGCCAGTACATGTCAAAATCAGGAGGGGAAATCAAGTTTTCCTAGTGTCCCAGGTCAACTCTCCACGTCAAACGTCCCCACGTACGAGAGGCAAAAGGTAGATAATACCACATTTCAAAACTAAGTCACTATGCGGCCCCATGGGGACTGTCACGTACAGATCTGGAGCCCTCATTTACTTGAGTCTGACACCGATTTATCAGCCCATGTGCCTCTCCCTGTGTTCATGGGCCAAGCTCTTTCCCCTCGCAATGACTGCATTTCATTCCCTTTGCTCATATTCACCGCAGGTGAGCAGGCGTATGCGACAACCGGAGCCAATCTAGGGGCCCAGATGGGACATCAGAGGACCCAGGTCAAAACTCATTTCTGCCACTTTACTACTCATGCGACTGTGGCCAAAACCAACTTATTCTTTCTGGGCCTCAGTTTCTTCATTGGTAAATCGAAGGGGGTCAGCCTCGGTGGCCTCTGAGGACCCTGCTTGCTCAAAACCTATGATCCTGTGATCACTGGGCCCCGGGTTTCTCCTCCGTAGAATGAAGGGGCTGGACTTGGTGATCGCTAAGGTACCTTTCGGTGCCAAGATCCGTGCATCTTAGGATCAGTTGTGCAAGGAGCCATGTGAGCACGGGACAGAAAGCAGAGAGAGAGAGAGAGAGTGGGGGAAGGAAGGAAGGGAGGGAGGGAGGGAGGAAGGAAGGAAGGGAGGGGGGAAGGAAGGAAGGGAGGGAGGGAGGGGAGGGAGGGAGGGAGGAAGGAAGGGAGGAAGGGAGGAAGAAAGGGGAAAGGAAGGAAGAAAAGAAGGGGAAAAGAAGGAAGGGAAAAGAAAGGAAGGAAGAAAGGAAGGAAGGGGAAAGGAAAGAAGGAAGGAAGGAAGGGGAAAGGAAGGAAGGAAGGGAAAAGAAAGGAACGAAGGAAGAGAGGGAGTGAGGAAGAAAGGAAGGAAGGAAGAAGAAAGAGAAAGAAAGAAAGAAAGAAAGAAAGAAAGAAAGAAAGAAAGAAAGA